CTCGTGAGGCTTCAGGCAGGCAGCTGAAGCGCTCTGTGGGACTGGTGTGTGGCCTGTTTGGAGGGGTCACCAGTCTGGGGGCTGTAAGTAGCCCCGGATTTGAGCAATTCACCCTGAGCGGACACCCTCAGCTGTGCCCAGACACGGCCCGGTCCGTCACAGCATCATCAATGGGATTCTTGTGCAAGCCCTTAATCACCGTCAATTTCAATCACTGCTTGAGGAAGTAGATTCCCAATACCCCAATCTACTAAGCACAATGTTCTCTGTTATCTCATGGCAAAGTTTTGTCTTGTTCTGGTGCCTGCACTGATGAGATTAATTCATTTTTTGGATATGAAGGGTGTTAAACACATTGAACTTTCAGATTGTGACTGGTTGCTCAAGTTTTACTATCTTGTCGACATTACTGGTCATTTGAATGAGTTGAACGTTACGGTGCAAGGGCAAGGAAATGCAGTCCTGACTCTGCAGCAGGCAGTGTTTGGATGTGAATCAAAACTGACTTTCTTCATCAAAGATATTGAGATGGGCAGACTGGCACATTCTGAAAGATTATTAATGTTTCTTGATTCCTCTCAGGGAGAGGATCCAAATAACAGCCTTGATTTGCAGCAGCTTGCCGGGTTTGTTTCATAGCTCCTGATGGCATTCCAATCTCCTTTCGTTGACTTTTGAAAACACAGTGCTCTGTTTAAATTTATGATTTGACCACATAAAGCATCTGTTGAAGAACTGGATTTGACAGGCATTCTAGGTATCAAAGTCAATGATTTGGAAATGGAAATAGGAGATTTCAAGGAGTTGGATATCTGGATGGAAAAATTAATCAAGCTGAATTCTGATGCAGAATGCTTTGCTCAACGTGTAGAACTGGAAATTGCACAAATGGGCTGACATGATGAAATTGGAGCACGATGATAATCTGATCCTGCAAACTTGGAAAGAATTTCCTGTCATGTACAACCCTGTGCAGAATGTCAGCTTGGCCTTACTTTCAATGTTTGTATGTACGAGCAGGCTTTCTCTCATTTGAATCACATCAAAGGTAATTTGTGCTCAAGATTGACAGAAGACACCCTGAATGCACGTATGAAGCTGAATTTGACACGCTATGACGTAAACTACAAAGTAATGTGCAAAAAGATGCAGCAGCAGAAGTCCCATTAAATAAAGTCCTTGAGTACACCTGAGTACGTTATTAATGGTAATATTAAGTTTCATATTTTCAGTCATGCAAATGGGCATTCTTATACTGGCTCTTTGTTGACCACTTGTTTTGAATTTTGATGCAGTGTGGCTCTTTGGTTTGAAAAGGTTGCTGACCCCTGAAATAGACATATAAAATCACATATGTTTTTACATTCCAGAAAGGAGCTGGAAGGAGGTCTCTTCCAGTCGCTTGTCTGAGTGGCTTTCATTGTTGATGGGTTGCCTTGCCATTTACTTTTGATTGACATCCGTGAACTCAGCCAATCAGAAAGCTTGAGCCATAAATTAGTTACTGACTGAGGCTCAGATGTGATGTGCACTGTTCTCCCTGCTGGCATGTGTCCTAAGGGCAATACAAGCATCATATGGGCAAAATGGGCAGTTCATTGAAAATCAGTTTAAGTGGCATCTGATGTAAGTCAGGTATTGTGAATGTGAGGACTCCCTGTATTCCAGTGAGGAGGTCAGGCTATTGTATCAAAACAAGATTATGTGAGTCAAAACCCTCCCCCAAAAAAACCCTCAGCAAGCAAACCATGGGATCAACAAAATGAATATACCAGTGAAGATGTAACCCACACACCTGCTAGGTATGGTGCATTGTCTCATGTAGTGGCACTTGGATCACTTACAGAGAGAAAGAAGCTCAATATTAGCTGAGAAATAGCTGATTTTTAGCTCTAGGTGTAGAGGCTCATGCTCCAGACGACCCAGATTCAGTCCCACCTGTTTGGTGTTAAAACGGGACTTTACCATCTGGGGCACAACTAAAAAGAAGTGTGATTGTAGATATGTGAAGTCTTCTTTGTTACCAGAGCTGTGCATGTGAAACTAAATAGGGAGACTTTTTTATAGGAGTGACAGAATTGCCGTTGTTGGAGACATTATTTTGAAGGAAGGTGTAAAACCCGATAAGAAGAAAGTTTCAGCCATTGAAATGATGCCATGTCCCTAGTCAAAGAAAGTTGTCCAGTGGGTCCTGGGAATGGTTGATTATCAGACCTAATCTAGCTAAGGAAACAGTGACTTTAAAGCAACTCCTTGAAAATAAAAAAGAATGTTGCTAGGTGCAGAATAGGAGAATCATGGGAAAGTTTGAAACTCCAAGTCATACAAGAGCTAGTGTTGAAATTCAGTGCATCAGCAGGACTATTAAGGTTGATATCAGAGGCTGTGTCTATACTGGGAAGGTTTGGTGATAAAAGTGCTGTCCACATGCAAAAAATAAAAACTGGTCAAACCAGGTTTTCTGCCTCCCATTGTCGACATTTCATGGCCACGTTGCTAGTGACCTGCTGACAGAGCAAAGCCATGTGTGTGAGAATCCCACAGTGCAGTGTTGTGGGAAGGCAGAGCTGATCCCTGCACTTCTTGGGATCCCCTCATGGCTAAAGAATTTCAAAGCTGCACATCTGTCTCTCCAGCCCTCCTCCTGCAGCATCAGAACAGGAGCATTCTAATTATTTGGGTGGGGGTTGTTTGTTCCCCAAATTGAGTAGCTCACTCAACTGTCAGATACTTCCTGGAGCTTTGACAGGGGAGGGGGCGCATGCCTGCAGGGCAACAGAAATCACAAAACAGAGAGCACAGCCATCAGGGAAAGCATTGTGGGATACTGGCAGAATATAGTCCTCTGGACAGAAACAAACAGCAGAGTCCCCACTGGTTTTTTGTTTACAATAAAGGGAGATGAAAAGACAAAAATATCTCAGGCTGCGTCTAAACTGGCAAGTTTTTCCACAAAATCAACTGCTTTTGCGGTCTACACTGGCCGCTGAATTTCCGCAAGAACACTGACGCTCTCATGTAAGATTGTCAGTGTTCTTGCAGAAATGCTATGCTGCTCCCGTTCGAGCAAAAGCCCTCTTGTGCAAATGCTTTTGCACAAGAGGGCCAGTGTAGACAACATGGTATTGTTTTGCGCAAAAAAGCCCCGAGCGCGAAAATGGCGATCGAGGCTTTCTTGCACAAAACCGCGTCTAGATTGGCATGGATGCTTTTCCGCAAAAAGTGCTTTTGCAGAAAAGTGTCCGTGCCAATCAAGACGCTCTTTTCTGCAAATGCTTTTAACGGAAAAACTTTTCCGTTAAAAGCATTTGTGGAAAATCATGACAGTCTAGACATAGCCTCACAGTGGTGCAAGTTTTTTGTTGCCAAAACTGAGTGTTTTTCCTGACAAAAGTCAAATTGTAGTGTAAATGCTCTCACTGTTTTGTTGCCAAAAGCCAGTGCATACAAGACCTGGGATAGGAGCAGTGAATTGCCAGAAACAGAAGGGTTGTTGGCAACTACTGATATATGCCTCTAGATCACTGACAGACAGAAATCCAATAGATCTTGATTGAACGAAGCGTTTAAAAATATTTTGTTTGCCTGTGAGAAAGTCAATCAACATACTTATGGCCAGACAGTGGATGTTGAAATAGACCACAAGGCCCTGATGGCATTAATTGGCAAATCTCTAAATGACTGTATTCATCATTCGAAGAAGAAAGCTGCAGAAGTAGATTGTGACCTACATGTCTGGTAAATTCATATTCGCCATCACAAAACCTGAGAAGACCTTAGAGACAGAATTGAAAGCCTCAGTGGATCTGATTGCAAAGTCAATTTGCGGAGCCAACAAGAGAGGGGTGGAGAAAGATTCTAAAAGAGGCAAAAGGGAGGCCTGGAGAAATAAGTTGCCCAAATGTAAGAGATGGCTGGAAGTGCAAACATGAACTTAGGATAGACAGAAACTACTGAAGGGCAACATGGTTCTAATACAAATGAGCCTTCAGACAAAAAATACTACAGAAGATACACAAGGGTCACACCCCTAAAGATCTGCTGGATTTGGGGGCACCTGCACTAGTGGGTGGTCAGGGAAATGACAAGGGAGGAAAGAGGGGGCAAAGTCCTGGGGTGTAAATTCCTGATGCTAGTCCTGGGCACTTGGGCTGTAAGTAGCCCTTATTTAAGCAATTTGCCCTGATTTGACCCTCTCATTAGTGTCTCCGCTAACCTGTTATATTCCACCCTGCACTGCCAGCCCCTCACACAGGCTGGGGGGTGCTAACCATCCCTGCTCTCTCCTCACAGGTCCCTGCACGGGGTGTTCCCATGGCGACGCGATGGCATCTCTGTGTGTGCAGCCTGGGGATCCTCCTCCTGGTGCCATGTGCTCTTTCTGGTAACGTTTGAATCCCCATTATTTTCCTTCCTGTCCCCATGTGCGCTGCCCCCTGCTGAGCTGAAGTAGGGAGAGCTGAGGACCAATGACATCCCCCCAGATCTCCTCAGTTACACAGAGTAAAAGGGCCTGGCCCCAGAAGGCTGTGGGGTGGGATGGTGTTAGGATGACTGGGGCATGTCCTAGCAGTGGGAGGCAGGATTATTGTATCTTATAGGAAATCACCCAGCTCCTGCTTGCCCTGAGAGACAGCTCCAGACACTGATCCCCACTGCTAGACCTGCCCCACTGGAGATCTACGTTCTCATGACCTGCAAGGTCCTCCTTGAGGAATGGGGGCACCCAGTTCCCCTTGGGACGAATGGAACTGCAGCATCACCAACCCCGACCCTTCCAGCAACATGAGCCAGGCTTCAAAAATTAGGAGATGGGCTAAAAAAATCACCAGATTTTAAAATCAAACCCACCTTACTTCTCTTGGTTATTTGAGGCTTCGGTCATGCTCTGGTCACATCCTCTCCTCTTTGCTCACACTGACTCTGTGCCTGACTTTGTCTGTTCCAGAGAAATTCATCCTACATGGCTCCCTGCAGCCCGTGGTGGGGGTAGTGGGGCAGGATGTGGTGTTACCCTTCCAGCTCTCGCCCCCAGCCCGACTGGCCAACAAGGGCGTGTTGTGGAGGAAAATTGGCACCGAATTTATCCTAGTTCATGAGTACTCGGACGAGGGTCCCAAGGACCAGCCGGGAGAAGGTTACCAGAACCGGACGGAGATGTTCCCACAGGAGTTCAGCAGAGGGAATGTCTCCCTGAAACTGAAACGGCTCCAAGAGGCAGATGCTGGGACGTACCACGACTGGCCAACAAGGGCGTGTTGTGGAGGAAAATTGGCACCGAATTTATCCTAGTTCATGAGTACTCGGACGAGGGTCCCAAGGACCAGCCGGGAGAAGGTTACCAGAACCGGACGGAGATGTTCCCACAGGAGTTCAGCAGAGGGAATGTCTCCCTGAAACTGAAACGGCTCCAAGAGGCAGATGCTGGGACGTACCACTGCTATGTGAGCGACCCCGATTGGAGCCAGGAAGCCACCACTGACCTGCGGATTGCAGGG